AAAGAAAAAGACAACTCTGGCCTAATGTAACTCTACTCTTGGTTTGAAACTAAAATAGCTCTGTCAATACAAGAGAGTAACAGGCTAATCAATGCAAATAACATTCATAAGTGCATGAATGTAGATGTGAGCGTGTGACCAACACAATGTCCAGTTGAACACTTGCAATGGTCTGGAAGTAACAAACCTCAGTATTCAAGGTGTCTGTGCCAATAAATCAGATGTGATATTACTTGGATAAGTTATTGTTAACATTTTGACATTAACTAACATGCTCTGCCATGACAGTCAAAAGCAAAAACTTCAAAAGCAAAAAAATAAAATTAAAAAAAAGACGTAAATACAGTGGTTCTCAACAAGAAGGCCGGAGAATTATTCAAAATGATTTAAATTAATAGATTATTATTAACACAATTTGTATTAATATTGCATTATTAATTGTATTAATATGCAGTTCTTGAAACTTCTAGAATTTAAAAAAAGAATTGTTATTAATTCAGGTGGCTTTGAGCCAAAAAGATTGAGATCAATTGCGCTAACAATATAATGCCCCTTGTGGCAGCACTCAAAATGCAACATGTAGCCTACACGGTTTAAATTTGCTAATATGCAAGTTTGACTTTATCAGGAATTCATATGACAATACAATTGTGCTTTGCATTGTCAGCATTGCTGCAGGTGGTGCTACAGGATGTACAAGCGTAAAATGTCTTCATTTTATCTTTCAGGTCAACTACTGTAATGGCAGAGCAACGGTTTGAAGAGAACTTTGCTGACTCAGTTGGTTAACATGTCGGCATTTTTACAGCTAACTATCTGAATAAGCATGTACAACAAGACCATGCATGACACAGGATCACCTACATGCACGTATACAGTATGTTTTGGGCCTAACCTGCAACTTCACCAAAGTTGTTCTTCACCCACATCCTGTAGGGGCACCATAAGAACCATGACCACAAAACTGCACAAACAAGTTACACCAACATGACTTCCTGTTGTAAGCTTGGCATTTCTTTTTGAATTGATCGCTCTGTTGTGTTTCAAAGGAGCACTTTGAAGACTTCACATCAAACAACATAGACATCCTCTGCAATTAATGAAAGGTGAACACATAGTTGATAACATGGTAGCTTCTTACCTGAAGTTCGCACCACGCTACTTCCACCGTAGTCTCCGTGTCCAAGCCCTTGTAGACGGTTTTGAACGAGCCACGTCCAATCTCGATGTCAAATTTGAGGAAACGACCATCGGGTGAGGTGCCCACAGCTTTGGTCTCCACTTCTTCATCCTCCTGAACCTTTTTCTCAGCCTCTCTCTGCTCAGCTTCAGCACGGGCCCTCGCCACCTCTTTCTCCTCCTCTTCTTCCTCACGTTTGTCTGCTACTCCGCTCTCTTGCTCCTTGTTGCCCACATCGCTGGGCTCTTTCTCCACCATCCCAAGGGCCTCGCTCTGCCTCACACCCACATCCTGCACAGATGGGCTCTGTACCTCCACAATCCCTTCAACCCCAGCAGCTCTTCCATCCTCTGCATGTTCTTCCAATACGACACCTGAAACACCTACTTGGGTGTCAATGGTAACGTCAGGGGCCGAACCCAGCACCACAGGCACAATGAACTGCTCGCAGTCCGGAGGCGAGGTGAGGATGCAGGCTTTGCTGGGCAAGTCAAGGGCTGTGGCATTGGAGTCACAGATGACGCTACGCCTAAAAAATCTGTGCTCAGCCGTCTTCAGATCTTTATCCATGGTGTGGCGTCGTTTCCTGACCTCCGTGTCTAGCTTCTCACCCACCAGTGAGTCCGAACCGGAGCCGTTCACATTCTTTGGAGCTGGAGGGGCCAAGAAGGTCACCACCTTATTGGGATTTTCCGATGACATCTCTCCAGGGAAAAAAAAAAAACTTAAATGTATAAATAAATGATTGTGAAAAAACTCAAATGTAAACCTTGACCTTTTGCAGAAATGTCCTCTTTCTGCTTTTGACTGTGGCACAAAAAGCCTATGAAAAAAGTAATAAAAGCTCACGTGAACCACAGAGTTTGCTGGAAGGCCCCCTCCGTGGGGTATTCCTTACTAACAGTTACTCTTACAGTGTAAGGGGCCAGAGCCCAAGAGAGGAGGTGTTCTTTTATAAACGTAAAAGAACAAGACACAGTCACTGAGAGGGAAAAAAAAAACTTAAATGTATAAATAAATGATTGTGAAAAAACTCAAATGTAAACCTTGACCTTTTGCAGAAATGTCCTCTTTCTGCTTTTGACTGTGGTACAAAAAGCCTATGAAAAAAGTAATAAAAGCTCACGTGAACCACAGAGTTTGCTGGAAGGCCCCCTCCGTGGGGTATTCCTTACTAACAGTTACTCTTACAGTGTAAGGGGCCAGAGCCCAAGAGAGGAGGTGTTCTTTTATAAACGTAAAAGAACAAGACACAGTCACTGAGAGGCAAGCACTGATGGTGACAGACAAAAACTGTCAAATCCACTTCATCCATCCTGCAGCGACCCAGAGACAGCCGTCATTGGGCATAAGGGACCGCAAGAGGGAAAGGGCAAGAGCCTTGATATTCTTCAGACCTTCAGAGTGCAGGAGACCTGGCTCCGAAACCCAAAAACCAGGATCAGGTTTACTACAAGAGACATAAAGAACATATTAATTGCACACACACACACACACACACACACAGCATTAAAAGCAGTTCTCCATTCTAATAAGCATTTTAAAAATGATAATAACAGCATCACTATGTGAGAAATAATTACATATTAGCTTATGTTACAACTAAATGTACTTTTAAACAGCACTACATTTTCAGTATTAACGTTTAAAGCAGCTACAAATGTTGACTATTAAATGCAAGCGTAAGCTACTTCGAAGCCTTTTGCTAACTCGGGTTTCTGTGCGTGTGACTGCTGGGCTTTCACAGGTGTTCAGTTTCAATCGTATAAATATTAAAAAAATTAAATGTTGTGCCTCAAAATGTCAACAAAACAAACCCGTGTAATGGTAGATGAACACGTCTACTGCGCACGCGGGGGTCGCGAGACGAGTCGCCCTGGTTACGTGAGGTGGCCAGCTGAGATTTGGGGGTGATTTTTGTAATTCTCCAGCAAAAAACTCAAATGATATCTGGAGTACTTTGCATTTTTGATGCATTTAAAATATTAGAAGTTATCAGCGACGCTTTTGAAAAGTTGTCAAGTAACGGCGAACGTTGGTATCGAGCTCATTCTTAAAATAATGCCGCGCGCGTTTAATAGCGTTTTTTGAACAGGAAGCGCTTGCGAATACACAAACGCAAAATACCAGACTATAATACACAATGGATATTTAATATGGTATGCCTGTCAACCTATAATAAACAAGCAGAGTTTTATAACCAGGTGTAAAAAAATTCTGCTGCAATGAAAAAAATAGGAGGCTGGCTGGCCAGCGAATACCTTTCGTATCGTCATCTCCATTCCCCTCAGATGTAGACAAAGCGACAGCTGCAGTTGCTTGAGTTGACCGAGCGAATCATTTAAGAGAGGTCATCGCCAAATAGTTATAAAGACAAAAAAGAATCACGGCTGGAAAACCGAATGATCAGAAAACACCAATTCCATAGATTTAGCAGAGCTGCGCGTTCATCGTGCTGTTTGCTCTACAGGCCAAGTTCAACACGGGGCTGGTGAATCCAACGTGATGCAATGACTCTACTAAATTCGGTATCCAGCGTAGCGATGTATCCTGTGATTAAACATTATGACTAATCAACAACAGAGTCCGGTTCCGGTCGACTGCACGCGGATCTGCTGCAAACCACCGATTTTCCTCCTTTCACGTGAACAATGCAACAACATCCACTGCGGTTTGCGTTCGCTGCTGTCGAGCCGGCTGAGTCGTTATCCTTATGCAGCAGTCGACAACTGGTAGTCTCCATACGCAGTATTAGGGTTTCTCTGGAAGTGCTGCCCTTTGATCGGTTGGTGTTATTAAGACTCCAGTCTGTCACGTTGGTTTTAGCTCCGAGGCTCTGCTGCTGCTGTCGCTGTCTACAGTACCCTCCCACTGAATACTGACAGCAGAGACGCCAGCCGGCAGTGTCTCATTACGGCCTGAGGAGGTCGCTGTTTCCTTCCTCAGTTTATTTACAAAATTGCAGCGCAAGAGTTGATCCCCAAGAGTTGATCCCAGTTTAAAAAGAATGCAGTTTTCTTCAAGTATACTTTTGTTTGCAATGCTAAATCTTATTTTGTCTTAAAATGTGTACGAAACTAACATTCTCAGTGTCAGTGTATCCTTATCTAAGTGTTTTTTGACAGGCGGTGTTGTGTAATGCATGTCAGTTGCACACTCTCTTATCTGAAGTGCTTATTAAGAGCTTGCTTCAGGCTGGACCACAGCAGAGATGCCAATATATCTCGTTTGCCCTGGCATGGAATTCTGGCTCTTCTTCCATGCGGCTAGTTAACAGTAAATCTGCGAGCAATCAGGCCGTTAAACGTAAACTTCTGGCACGTGTGCTTTTTTTACTGTATAAACAAAAAGCTTTTCAAATTCTAGCACGATCCGTGCAACAAAAATAGTTTTCCTTTGTAATTTATTACAGATGATGGGCATTAAATAATGAAACTGTTAACAGTCCTTCGGGAAAAAAGTGCATGCACATCTGGAAGATAGTAGATAATAATTAGTAATATGAATCATGAAGCAAATTTAAAAAGATATCCAACAATGAAAGCAAAAACTAAAATACCATATTTACTGTAAGTGCTCAGTGCTTTGAGGAAGCATATACGGTAAGCAAGATTTCAATTGTTATTTTGCTCAAATTAATTTATGCATTTTTTAAATTGTATTATGCGTATTAAGCATATCTCCTTGGTTTGTATTATACATTTCACTTGATATTTTTGCCAAACTTAACGCATTCCGTTTTATATTTAAATGAAATATTGAAACCAATGTAGGAAATGGCAAATACAAGTTATGTTGAATTTTCATCTGGCAAAAAATGTTACACATAACAGCATGGGAAGTGTACATTCAAATAAAGAAACATTATTGTTTTTTTGTTCTCTTTTTCCCTGGCCAGACTGTTTCCTCAAAGCCTATTAATATGAAGCCCCTTATAACATTAGACATTTGTTTTTCTTTTTTGCATTCCCTTCCTCCGCAGATGGCACACACAAGCAGGCTCTTTCCTAACATTGCAGATTCTCTATGGAGGCCCCACTGCTACTTAAAACCACCTGTGGGGTCCAAAGAGGTGACACAAGCATGTGCAAGATGTGCTAGTCCAGTAAGACAGTAAGGTGTCAAGGTCACGGTATGTATCTTTGATTGCACCCTGAGAGGCTGTTTGTTTTAGATGCATTGACTGTGGGATGGGTACACTTTGTTCCCCTGTTCAAATGAAGGCAGTGATTGAGCTCTGTTGACATACAGGTCAATTGAGAGCATGTGGAAATTTCACACTGGTAAGAATAACACTGGTTAGAAGACCGCATTAACATACATTAACAAACCTTTCACTATTTGACTAATTAATTTGTGCAAACAGAATGTGTCAAATGAGTCCACACAGCTGGTAAAAGCATGACTTCAGTCGATCAATTAATATCTTGTGAAGTGTAAAGCTGTGTGTTTGCACTCGTATTTTGCCAGAAGCAGAGGTTTAAAGTTCAAACACAAACGTTGAATTTGGACATTTGTGGATTACTTGTGGATTATTGTGATGTTTTTATCAGCTGTTTGGACTATCATTCTGACGGCACCCATTCACTGCAAAGGATCCATTGGTGAGCAAGTGATGTGATGCCAATTTTCCCCAAATCTGTTTTGATGAAGAAACAAACTCATCTATATCTTGGATGGCCTGAGGGTGAGTACATTTTCAGCAACTTTTCATTTTTGGGTGAACTATTTCTTTAAGTGAGTGTGAAAATTAGATTAGGGAAGTAACAAAATAAGGATTGAGAGAGAGAAAAAACTTCAAGCTCTAAGTTTGCATGTACAGTAATGTAATGTAGCTTCAGTACATCAGTTTATCCACTAGGCGGTGGTAATGAGTGAATGAGAAAAACAGGCATTTGTTTAGCACCCAACATGCATTATTCATTATGCTAGTCCTCTCACTGTGCATTACTGGGAAATTGTATTTAGACTGGTCTTTAAGATAACTGCAACACTCCGGAAGGTAAATATTTACTCTGAGATTGAAACAATGCACAAGCTAATCTAAATGAGTGTAAGGAGGGTTATCTTAAAGTCACCATGTCAAATGCCTGCTGGAAAGTTTAACATTCCATTGTAAAGAGCCACTGGATGTCCGCACATGCTAATCTTTCAGCACACTTGTATGCAAAGTCAGGTAGCTGTGTGTTTGCACTCGTATTTTGCCAGAAGCAGAGGTTTAAAGTTCAAACACTTAAACGTTGAATTTGGACATTTGTGGATTACTTGTGGATTAGGTTTGGACTATCATTCTGACGGCACCCATTCACTGCAAAGGATCCATTGGTGAGCAAGTGATGTGATGCCAATTTTCCCCAAATCTGTTTTGATGAAGAAACAAACTCATCTATATCTTGGATAGCCTGAGGGTGAGTACATTTTCAGCAACTTTTCATTTTTGGGTGAACTATTTCTTTAAGTGAGTGTGAAAATTAGATTAGGGAAGTAACAAAATAAGGATTGAGAGAGAGAAAAAACTTCAAGCTCTAAGTTTGCATGTACAGTAATGTAATGTAGCTTCAGTACATCAGTTTATCCACTAGGCGGTGGTAATGAGTGAATGAGAAAAACAGGCATTTGTTTAGCACCCAACATGCATTATTCATTATGCTAGTCCTCTCACTGTGCATTACTGGGAAATTGTATTTAGACTGGTCTTTAAGATAACTGCAACACTCCGGAAGGTAAATATTTACTCTGAGATTGAAACAATGCACAAGCTAATCTAAATGAGTGTAAGGAGGGTTATCTTAAAGTCACCATGTCAAATGCCTGCTGGAAAGTTTAACATTCCATTGTAAAGAGCCACTGGATGTCCGCACATGCTAATCTTTCAGCACACTTGTATGCAAAGTCAGGTGACATACAGTATTTAATTTAGAGAATATGCAGACCCACTTCATTAAAATTCCAGCTCATGTACCAGGAAACATTTAAGCTCA